AAAATGGCCCCCAGCACCATCACCTTTCACAAGCTAAGCCGGCTTTAGCCTGGACAGCGTCGGGATTGACGACCACAGCACAAAACAGGTACTTACAAGCTCCATCGGTACTCGGTTGCGAGCAGCGAGGCGAAGGGAGTGCAGCAATAAGTATAACCCGTAACAAGTAAACCCGTAAAAACAAAGTTTTTCACTATAAATCCTTTATATGCGTGGCAGCGAACTTAATATAAAGGATGTAAAAATATATTCGCCTGTGGAGGACGCGGGGATCGATCCCTCGACCTTTGGCATGGGAAGCGAGGGCGCTACCAACTGCGCTACTCCGCCACAGCCTGTGGAGGGGTTACACTCTGGGCTCTTACACTCTGACGTTCAGCCAAAGCCATGAATGCGTTCTATTTGAATATATGTAAAATAAATTTTTAAGCCTAAAAAGTGTACAATTTTGGGAATTTTTTTTCACGAACAATAATTGTCTGGCACAACGAGTCTGTGTGGAAAATGTCAGCTCGATTGGATCACGGGAAGTGGGTTAAAAAACGACCGAGAGATTTGCACGGTCCTAAGCAAGCAAGCAAGCACGCAAGCACGCAAGCAAGCAAGCAAGCACGCAAGTAAGCAAGCAAGCACGCGAACTTAATATAAAGGATTTAAAAAAGAGCCATTGTTGTATTGCACTGCTCGCTCCCCGCTCTACCAACCTGCACTGAGCAACGTATGGTCGGACACGCTAACGTGTGGTCTGAAAGGGTAACGTGTGGTCTGACAACCCGTATCGTGTTGAGGGGGGAGGTCCTCATCTAACAGTGGATTGGCAAAAAGTGCTGCGCACGTGCATGCAGCGGCGTAAACAATCATGGCCATAATTGAATAATTGTGTCTGGTCTTGAATTGCATCCAGGAATGGAAAGACAATCTCCGTGCTGTTTCGGTGCAAACGTGCTACACCGCCCCCCCCTGCCCCCCCCCCCCCACAATCTGGGTTTTATTCCTGACCACGACTAACATCTGTGTTGAGTGATATCTAAACCAGTCCTGGCCAGGCCACCCAATATTACCAATCAGCATTCTGACCAGCGTGGTGCAAAGGTGGTGGGAGGGGGGGGGGGGGTCGAATAACCCCCACGGGGCCTGCACGCCTGTGGAGCTGACCAGAGTGGAGAAGCTAAGGCGGGTATGAGCCTGGACAATTGCTTGGATAGGCACTCAGGTTTTCCCTCCCCACCCGTCCTACTCAGCGTGTTGACCGCGCTCCAGGCTCTGACCCTGGGTGACCACGCGGCTTCTGTCCGCACGGCGCCCAGGCTCTGGAATTCCCAGCCCCTCGGTGTTCAGGAACTCAGAGACAATGAAGACCCCCACCACCGTTTATAATGCCCTCCCACCCCCTCTCTCCTCTCTCTCTCTCGTTCTATATTTGATCTCTTTCATCTTTTTCTCGCCGGTTCCTTCTCACTAATTATCCTCCTGTATTTGCCTGCCGCTCTGAGATCCATTGTTTAAGTGCGCCTCATACATCAGATTTTAATTTTGTCGTGTCAAGGCTCTGAAGCGATGTTGTTCGGCAGCAGAGGGCATCTAGCAGTGGATTGACATGTACACATACTGCAGAGACAAAGATCCTCCGTGTAGCCTTTCACCGACTAGTCGGGCAAGTGCTGTTAGCGAGCACCTTTAAAGGACCCCACGGCACACGAGGGTGAGGGCGGCCGCCTTTGTCTCTCCAGTGATGATGTTTACATCCCGCACCAGCTACCGACCACACGCAAGGGCTGGAGCGACCTAATATAGGCCCCAACTTCGATTCATATATTCGTCACTAAACGTCGGTCATGAGCGGGGCATCGACCTCGGTTCGCCGAGTTCACAGCGCAGCGCACTGACCGCTGTGCAACCGCTCCGCGCGCATGCCGCACACATGTGCTGCACACTGTGTGTGCGGCGTGCGTGTGCGTGTGTGCACGTGCACAATGGAACTGGGATACCCATGTGGTGCGGGGTCACGCGGGGTCATCTGAGGCCGTGCGGGCAGGGCGCGCACGTCCGCTGTGAGGAAAAGAGCCCCCCACACATCCTGGAGACTGACTTCTATTGTCAACACAGAGCTCAACAATGAAGCAACATAGAATCCAGTCGTCGGGGTGACCCAGGTCACTCTTACAAAAGGGGCTCCATCCTGGCCTCTTCAGTGCTCACCTGGTTGAGCAAAATAAAACTTGACTGTATTTGGGCGCCAGTGGGATCTCCAGTTGCCTTTCTTTCCCTGAGAGCGGACTTGTGACTTTGAGGCATCAAACTGGATGTGAGCGGACAATGGACATGGCGCTGTTTCCACTCATTTCATGTCAGGTGATCTGACATGAATGCTGAGCCAGCTATGCACTGTTGATCCTGGATGGTGCTTGCGTGGGCAAGTAGAGTGTCATCGGCTGTGAAGCTACGGTGTCGGCAGCAGAGGTGCAGTGGTCCAGAATCCGTTGATGTGCTCTAAATCTAAGCTCCACCAATCTGCAATGACTAGCATGGTGAAGTATGGTCGCATAACCCCCATGACCCGCGCCGCTTGGGGAGCCCCTCATCCAGCAGTGGTTTGACAAATGCACAAAACCGTGGATTGCTCATGACTGGGGTGTGTAGGGGTCAGATGTGAAAAATCCAAGTGATTTCCTGCTCAAGTGGTCATTGATGGAGTGCTCTTGTCCTGATAACAGCCCGGATCTGGTGGTAGAAATTCCAGATTCCTATGGTGGGGGTGAGTAAATCCATAGGACAGCCACATAGCGGTGATAAGTAATGGCATGTAATCCTGTGGTTTGGTATTTTTGTTAAAGGCATTTGCTACATTCGTGCTGTTATGGCTATGCCTGTGGGAGTGCATTCGTGTCTGTGTGTGTCTCTGTGTCTCTGACTCTGTGTCTCTGTGTGTGTCGCCGTGTCTCTGTGTGTATCTCTTTGGGTCTCCGTGTCTCTGTATGTATCCGCGTCAGTGTGTCTCTGTATCTGTGTGTGAGTGTATGCATGGCTCTGTGTCTGTGTGTGTGTCTCTGTGTGTGCCTCTGCGTGTGTCTGTGTGTGTGTGTCTCCATGTCTGCGGAGTTGAGAGGGGAGGGCCGGGGTGGTGGCCGTCGAGAGCCTGCCGCACCACACCATGACTAGAGTGGAGGGTGGCAGTGGGGGCTTGAGGCTCTTTCCTTTCCAGTCGCCAAGAAGCTCTGTTGGACAGATATGGACCCCAACCATGGGAATGTGGAATTTGATCACCACTGGTATAGGGCAAATAAGTGCTGGTCCATTCCTCGTTTTAGAATGGAGACTCTATGACTTGAGTTTGCCTCTGACCAGTGCATAACTTTGGTAATCTGATGATACTCATTATTTTTTATTACCGCACAAATGCACTACTCCCGGACACTGCCCCCCTATCGAAGCCCAAGATGATCCCATTTCAGGCCCCAGCCTACAGATCCAAGTTCATGTTCTTTAACCAGGTGAGGACTCAAGAGCGCAGGAGAGAGTCTCATGTGGAAGAGCGACTGGTAGACAACAGAAGTCAGTGGTGGTGCCCGCCCATCACGAGGCCCAATGCAGACTTTCTTTTTGGGCCCCTTTCAATTCATGAAGTCCTCGTCAGATGTTAGAAATCGAGTTGCCATCCCGAAAGCGCATTCCCATGTTTACGCGTGGTCATCAGTTGGGAAAGCCCAACTCTCGCGATCACCGAGTCGAAGATTCATGTTAACACAACTTTTTTGTTTTCCTTGCAAGTCGAGGTGCACTTTGACTTGAGCTCTGGGGGAAAAAAAAACCACGGGGCCCAGCTTGGGTCGGCTGCCCCATGCAAACCCGCCACTCGCTCGCGGTGACCTGGCTGCTGCTACTGGCACCGCTCCCTCCACACGGCCACTCGAAGTGACACGCAACGGCAGGTCCGGTGAAATTGGCACCGCGAATTGAAAGCTGTTCATTTAAACTAACTCCTGTGAAACGATTGGGCATTGGTGGTGGTGGTGGTGCGGAGGGAGTGTTCTTCTCACTCCATACTGTGTACGAGTTATATTCAGGTACACAGCGGTACGCAATAAGGAATTGGCCAAAACCTTCGTAGGCAGCGTCCTGCTGAAAATGAGCACCGGTACTCAGTGAGGCCTTCGCTGGTGATATAAACACTGCTCATGCACTGCTACTCATAATAATTGTCAATACTTGCAATCAAGTATACTGGCCCCTGTCATTGAAAAACGGATGTTATATCACTGGCTTAGGACCATGAATGGGTTTGAGCGCCAGGTCATGCAGGCGGTCACTTTGAATGTTTGACTTTGAATAACTTTACAGGCCGCATAATTACGTTAATGTTTTTTTGGCGACAATGATGACGTTGATGACGATGATGACATCATGTGGAGCAACAGCGAGATTTCACGGCGTGACGATGAGTTGTGATGGGAGATGCGAAGTGAATCTCAGGGATATTTCTGGGGAATGAGAAACAGAGGCAGCGTTGTTCAGCGGATGGTCCACTGTTATTGGGGCAACGGCCCAACAACGGTTCAGATCAAAGCCATTCCCCAGTGTGTTCACTCGATATATTTTCGCGATAATTACTGCTTGGCCACTTTGGCAGCTTGAGTCGTCGTTGACCGACGTGCGCTCACCGGGTTGATGATGGCATTCGCCGTGAATCCTCACCGAACAAAGTTCAATTACAGTTGTTGTTGTTGTTCTACATCAACGTCGGCCCGGCACCTCCGATTAGCACGGTTGGCTATGTACGGTGCGAAAAAAGTTTAACATACATAATACAAGGCAGCAGACGAGTTATACGTGTGTGTTTGTCGATGTTAGGAAAGTGACCATCGCTTGTTCTAATTCCTGCATCCACCAACCTGATTGGCTGCGAGGCGCTTTGAGACTAATTCGGGCAAAGGCACCGCGTAAAATCGAATCTAAAGGACACCGCGGCACAGACCGACCGCGCAACCGCTCCGCGCGCTCACCCGAGTGCGGCAGGTGATGGTGTAGCCGCCGAGGCGACGTCCGCAGGCCGCCACGAGCTCGTCCATGGCGGCGAGCAGGCGGCCAGTGGCGGGGCACGAGGCCTCTCGGCCGTCCACCCAGGCCGTCCGGTCCCCGCGCACCACGGCCGAGTCGTGGCGCGGACTCACGAGCTGGCCCGCGCGCAACAGCCCGGCCGTGCGCAGGCCCTGCACCTGCGTTTGCCCAAGTGACACGTGGGTTGGGGGTAGACGTTGGGGCGCCGCGGTAGCGAGATGTTGACTACCTCGCCTGGTGCACAGGAGGTCGTGGGTTCAATGCCGACCCTGACGCCTGTTGCTGTATATTTAGAATCGACGTATTTGGCTGCTATAAATGTCCACGTAAGCCACTTCGTTGAGCTATCATTTGTGGCCAAGTCGCATCTGAAAAAGAGCTATATAGCTCAGTGGGCATTACCTGGTAAAATAAAAAAAAGTTTAATTTAGACCCAGCAGAGTCCATGATGGGTGGTCAAGGATCAGTTCAACTAAATAGGTACAGTATTTTCATCATTATCATCACCACCACCATCAAACGGCATCAGCCATGGTCAATCTACTGCTAGACAAAGGACTCTACAGCATCATATCGGGCATCAGGGTTGTTCGACCATACTTCACCACGCTGGTCAGTGCGGGCTGGTGTCAGGGTTGCCCACGACAGGTTCAGATATTGTACGGCCACCGGTACAGGCCGTGGCCAGGTAACACAATTTGGTCGCTGGGTTCACCAATATGCCAATCAGATTTGACTTTGCAAAAATCGAGACTTCACAGCTTGGCCCAAAGGTAAAAACGTTGTTTTTAAAACATCATCTCAGGGAGACAAATAATTAACGAGATAACGTCTTTGCGTATAAACAGACTCGCACAACTGTTGCATCTGGAGTAAGTTCTCAATGAACCGTTAGTGTGTAATTGCTGTATGAGGTTGATTGTATACATTCAATCAAATATGATTTTTTTTAAGTATCTGTTCACGTGTCATTACGTATTTGCTATGTATGTGACAACTGGCAGCCCTGGACACTCTGGTAAACGAGATGTTCCATCTCAAGGGATTGTCCAGGTGAAATACTTTTACCGCTTTACAATGCAGTTGAAATATGAGCACCCCATACCTCGGCCAACACGTAACTGCCGCTCTCCTCTCCCAGGAATCTGTCCAGAATACAGAATCCAAATCTCTCCATGTGTGGCACCACCAGCCCCAGCGCCATGTCCCGCAAGGAGCTTCCTCCTCCTGCTGCTGCTGCTGCTGCTGCCGGGCCGCCGTTACACTCCACCTGTAGTCGCTCCGGAGATTGCTGCTGCTGCTGATGAGGATGTACATTATAGCTATTGTCATGATAATAATCTCGATCATGATTATTGGTGTGAAGACTGTTATGGTGCACGGGAGGATCATGACCTGGCACCATAGGTCCTCCGTGCTGATGATACTGCTGCTGATGATTGCAATGTATATCTCGCTCAGAGTCTGGGTGATAGGATGGAGGTTTGGAGAACTGTGTGCCGTGGCTGGAGTTGGCATCCCACCACCACTCCACCTCGGGTCCTTCTCCAGCTCCTCCATGGCCTTCACCCCCATATGTGACACCTCCATGTCCCCCGTCTCCACCATGTCTTCCTTGCTGCCCAGTGCCTTCGTGCGTTACGTCTTCAACTCCATGTGTTACGGTCCCTGGATATCCTCCATGTGGCGCGTCTCTTTCACGTCCTTCTCCCGCATGGGATAATTCTCCAACTCCTCGTTGCCTTCCACGTGTTACATCCTGCGCGTATCTCCTTTCTTCTCCACGTGCTACATTTCCCCCATATCCCCCATCTCCTCCTTGTGTTATATCCTCCCCGTGTCCCCCAATGCCACCATGTGCCATATTTCCATAATATCCTCCCCCTTGCCCATGCGCACCATGTCCATGTGTTTCCTCTCCCCCATGGGGTAAATCTCCACCAACACACTCTTTAGTTCCTCCACGTGCTACATCTCTTCCGTAAATCCCATCTTCCACGTGTGTCATGGCTCCTTCATATCTTCCAACCCTTCCATACATGACGTCTTCTCCATGGCCTCCACGCCCTCTCACGCCTCCATGTGCAACATCTCCTCCGTGTCCTCCGAGCATCGTGCTTTCTCCGAGTATCACATCGTCCCCCCCATATCCTCCACGGAGGAACGCATTGCCACAAGATGATCCGCTCGGCACGAACATCTCCGGATGTGAACGAGCACAAACTTTCCCAGCGACGTGACCTCTCCGGCTCAGCCCACGGTAGGTCGGCGCTCTCCGATTCGCACCACCACCACCACCATCGCCACCGCCACCATCAGAAGGACCGTCCTCAAGCGACGGCGCATTGCACTTGCGCTCGCATCCCGGCAGCGCGCTCCCGGGCACGTTGAAGAGCTCGGTGATGGATGAGCCTAGGGACGGCCACCCAGGCACAGACGCACTGTGCGGTCCCACATCCCGAACCCAGTCCCAGTCTGCAAGACCCGGATAGTTTTTGTAAACGCCCTCGTTTTCTTCCACGTCTTCCCCTTGCTCGTTCTCCTCCTCCTCCTCTTGTCCGAGTGGGTCGTGGCCGGGCATCGTGGGTGGCCCGTTGAGATCTAAGCGTGCCCTCTTTGCACCGAGCACCCCGCGGTTGGGCAGCTCGTACTGCCCGGTTTCGTGGCGTCTCTTCATGCTGCTGCTGCTGTTGCTGTTGCTGCTGGATGGAGGCACGGGCGCCGTGGCCACGCGGCATGCTTGCTGTTCATGCCCGGATGAGCGGCGGAGAACATCCACACGCGGCGGCGGCGGCAGCGGCAGCCTCCTCTCCCAGCCGTGTGTGCGCGTGCGCCACGATCACAACACGCAAGCCCTCTCCCTCCCTCTCTCTCTCTCGCGTGCGCTCCTCGAGCCATTGAGGTCCTCGCCACTCACCCCACCCTCTCCCCACGTCCTGGATATGTTTTTAAAGTAAACCAACACTCCCCCCCCCCCTACGTTCAAACCCACCCACTCACAAATCAAATCTAGACACTCGCCCTAAAAACAAAGATCTCCCGTACAGTCTTAACGGACCGTTGGGGCAAGTGCTGTTTGCGAGCACCTATGAAGGCCGGTGCGGCTCTCTAGGGGATGGGTTGCCAGCACCACGCCCGGCCGCCTTTGTATCCTTAGTGGCGAATATTTACACACCGCACCAGGTTCTCATTTGAGGCTGAGTCGACCTAGGGGAGGCCTAGGACCGGTTCAGATAATTGCCAGTGATGTTGGCCATGTTGACCGAATTGGCCGTGAGCGGGAATTGAACCTGGGTCACTGGGTTCGCAGCGCAGCACGCTAACCGCTGCACCCACCCACCCAGCATACGCCCACCCACTCACCCACCCATCCATCCACTCACAAATATAGCCATTCACCCACCCATCCACTCACCCACTCACAAATCTTGCCACTAGTCCACCCACTCATCCACTCACACATTTAAACCATTCACCCACCCCATTCATTTACACATCCACAAACCCAGTCAGAGAGCCTGCCAGCAGCCACACTCTCCGATGGAGCCAAGCCTGGATTGCACGCTTCCAAAATCACAACTCGTCCGGTAGATGTTGCACAGCGTCCGCTGAATGCCACGGCGTGCGACACGTGCAGGCGGATAACACACTCAGGCAGGGCTTCAGCCAGTGGGGTCGTCCCGGGAGTGAAGGGTTGGAGGTCCCCTAACAAATATTCCACGAGTTATAATCTCTGCCGACACGTCGCCATTCGTTCGTGAGCAGAGAGAGACTTGCTCTACGTGGAGGACAGCGCAGAGCCTGAGGTGGGGTACCCACGGGGAGGGCTCCACGCAGAGACGCTGCGCGTGCCACGAGTCGCGGCTCCGTGCGTTGCTGCCACTTTGTAAAGAAAAGGGCCTGCTCTGTGTTTACCGTGTACTTATATACACGTCGATGCTTTCTTAACATTGCATTATGATGTGGAAGGGTTTTTTTTTTCCTTCTAAATTTGCCCTTCTGTTTGGTAAGAGCCAGCGGTGGAAATTACACATTAGGAGGAGCCCAGCCTAGCCATAGGATAAGCGCTGTCGTCCTAACATCCCAACGCCCTTGTTCGCCGATAGCACAACCCCTGGGCATGCATTGCGTATAATATGCATATTAATCGGCCAGAGCGGTGGCACGGCGGCCCAGGAGAAGCGTGCTGTTGTAGAGGTTCACGGTGTGAATCCACGGGCCGCCCTGATTATTACTGCAGGTGTATTGACCGTAAAAAAAGAAATACTTCGCGTCGTCTGCTTCACAGTGCGTGTTCGATATTCCCCGTGACGTCATTCGCAAGGCCCATTGTGTGTCGGCGTCGTGGGCCACACTTTGCGAAATTTGATTAATTGCGAGAAAAGTATTCATTCGGAATATGCACGGCACTCACCGCGTCCTCCTGCAAACGTTTGGCAGGACCCTCCCGAAAAAGAGTCAAGAGACTCCGTGAAGCTTTTCTGGGTACACAAGCAGAGTGTTGATAATAATCTGATCTTGAATGGCAGTCGGTGGCAATTCCAGCTGAGGACGCAAAGCGGACGCATGACGACCTCTGGTGGTAAAAAAACCCCTCCAGGTTTGAGAATTGGCGTTTAAAACCAGAGGGCAATTGAGATGTCTTTCAAGAGAGACCAGCCAAGTACAAGCATTTGATTAAAACACATTGAGCAGTACACATAAGGGCTCATGAGAGTGAACGTGTCATATATGGAAATAATTGCACCCATTTCTTTATCGTGAACGACTGTTTGATGTGGCAGGCAGACATGTCCTATTTCCCTCACGATAGCACAGCATGAGTTTCCCTAATGTCCCGTTATGAAAGCCAATTTTGTTTTTTACCAGTGACCGTGATGAGACTCGTCTCCCCATGCCCTTTCGCAAGCCATCTCAACAACAAACCACACACATTGTTCCGCGACCCGGGGGTTGGGGACCCAGTACGCCAAGCAGCCAGCAATGAGCAGCAACTATCAAAGTTGTAACAGATAAAGAGTGGAACACGTTTCTTGAATGAGGAAAGCTATGGGGTTTTGTAAAGAGAGATTATGGGAGGGAATTCCAATGAAGTGTGTGGGGGGGGCACGGGGTTCTAATCTGGGATATTCAAGGTGCTTGAGGAATTTCATCGACGGCACTGATAACACTGGTCAACAAAAATAAAAATAAAAATTCTGGCCTGGACTGTTGCAGCTGTTTTAGACTAATTTCAGGGTGCTGATTCCAAATCTGATCTTAGATTTGCTCTATCACATCTCATTTTATGCTATCGGAATACCCCATTTTCATTGATTTTACCCGAAATTAACTCTGTAACTTATGATTGCAAGTTGTTGCGAGTCAGTGACTGCTTTAGTGTTAAAATACGGTGCTGTATTTTAGGATAGTGTGTTTATAATATAATTTTATGTCGATATCCACATTTATTTAATATTTTCTTCTGCAGTTTTTATTGAAAATGCAATATTTGATATCTCAAAAGCCTGATGTGATAGACAAAAACTGATGCCAGATTTGGAATCAGCACCCCAAAATTACATTAAAGCCGTTGGAATACCTTATGCCAGAAAAAGTGTGTTGACCAGTGTAAGCAGACTGTAGCCTCATTTCTCCATCTGCTTATCCGTTGGTGTCGCACTCTGCTAATGGAAATCCCATCGCTCGCGCGGCATCCCCGGTTGGGAATGCGTCTTCGGTGGGACGCTTTGGTGGGACGCGTGCAACACTCCGAAGCGGTTTCGACGTTCAGTGGCTGAAACAGCGGTCAGCCTCGCGTGATCCAATGCTGGTTGAACTGCCAAGTGTGTAATTCTAGATTTGAAGCTTTCGTGACTGCAAGGATTCATACTCTTAGGTTTTTTCGGTAAAGTCACGTAGGTAAAAAATAAAATTGAAATTAATAAAAATTAACTAAAAAATAAAAATCACGACGTTTCGGAGGCAACACAAGCTTCCGTCTTCAGGTGGAACAGTCACAGCACAATTGCTGTATCAAGTAAAGAGTGCCAATTGTGTTTCGGCAACGGCCCATAGCTATTAGAGATATGTATTCTTTGGGTATTTCGGTAAAGCCACGTAGATAGAAAAATAATTGTAAAAATAAAAATATCACGACGTTTCGATCGCAACACAAGCAATCGTCATCAGGTGACAAAATATTGCGGGAGAGTTGCTGAAACAGGATGTTATATAGCTTTGAGATTGGTGTAGCCCAAGGGTAAGTGGGTGGGGCTCGAGATGTAATTTGCGTGTAAATGTAAGATCGGAGAGCTGATATGGGTTCCTGGTTCGCCAATAAACTCTCTAATACACAACAGAATACTCGTTGGCGTCCTTGTGGAGGCTCTAAATCCCATTAATGGGACTTTGTAATCGAATTGCTGCATGAAAGAAACCGCGTGCCCCGTCGCCCAATCAGACTTCAAACATTTTAGCAAGTCACCAAAAAAATAATAAAAATAATATTCTGTTTAAACACAATTATGAAAACAAAGACGAAGTTAGTGTCCGTGTGTTACAACCGCAATTACCTGCAAAAAATGTTTTATTAAACAAATTCTAAAATAACAAGTAGCCAATAGGGTGGCGCGTACCTCCGCGGTAGCCCCGCCCACGTGCCACCGTCGCGCGTTCCCATTGGCCGCTGACCTCGTGCATCGAGTTGGGGCCCGCGCAAGCTGAACAACGACCCGTCGACACGAACGGCGTTCATTGTCATCACTGCCGACGTTCATTTGCATCGCTGCCGACGTTCTTGACATCGTCCCATTGTTATAGAGGTGGTGTGTTCCTTCGTGCGAGTGCGAGCGGCACAACGCCAGAACGTTGCCGGCTTCAAGTACACGGTACGGTGCTAACAAACACAACAACAACGACACACAAAAGACAAAGATCCCCCGTGTAGCCTTAACAGACTGTAGGGGCAAGTGCTGTTAGCGAGCACCTATAAAGGTCGGCACGGCACACGAGGCGGGGGGGGGGGCAACACCACGCCCGGCCGCCTTTGTCTTCCTAGCGGCGATGTTTATACATCGCTCCGGGTACTCATTTGAGGCTGAGTCGACCTAGGGGGGGCCCAGGACCGGTTCAGATAATCGTCACTGTTGTGTTCGCCGTGTGCGGGAATCGAACCCGGGTCGCCAGGTTCGTAGCGCAGCGTAGCGCGCTAACCGCTGCACCACCGCTCCCAATCTTGGGACGCTCAACGGCAGTCGATGCAACGTGGTTCTGTTGCCCTCGGCCATAGGAATGTGGAGTCGCCGCCGTCACCGTTTCAGGGGCTGCTGCTGCCAGGGGCAGCGGTGAGTGCCACATGGGCGGCAGCGTTCGCTATCGGTACACGGCTGCCCCCCCCCCGGTCTCGTAAAGTGAGTGCCAAACGACACCCGCCGATTGATCCACTGCTGGATGTGAGGCCCTCCCCGTGCTCTCTTGGTGGTGGTGGAGATCGATTGGCCGTTGCCTTGTTGTTGAAGGCGAGGGTGGAGGAGGCGTCAGCCACTCATCTCAGTCAGTCGACCCCGTGGCACCTGCTGGGTGTGCCCCGTGACCTCCTGCCAGCGGGCGTTCGACACTTCACGTGGTAGCCTCAAGGTGCACGTGGCCTGGCACAGGCGTCGTGGTGGCGTCACCGCCACTTAGTGGCGAATGGCGGTGCGCATTGCACCATGTCACACGATTCTTGTTGCTGGGTGGTAAGCGTTATTTTCTAATTGCTCATGCCTCAAAAGTATAGACAATCAATGGCTTTTATCCCCCAAAAACTTTGCTTTTGTGACCAGTTCTTCACGTGAAGGAATGACGCAAATGCACACCACGTTTTCTCATTTAAATTAGGTATATTTCAAAATATCAATGTCCTGGCCAGAAGTTTGTGGGGAATCATAGGCATTTTCTGTACTTTTCAAGCATAAGCAATTAGTAAATAACACTACCCAGGAACAAAAAAAAATTACAAATGTGTTACACAGTGTTATTAATGGAGTGGAATTATTAACAGAGTTTGTGGGGCATAAAAGCAATTTTCTGTACTTTTGAAGCATAAGCAATTAGGAAAATAACACTACCCAGGAAAAAAAATGTTTTTGTTACGCAGTGAATTATCGATGAAGACACAGAATGAGGGGCAGGGGAGGGGGACCATTCATCGGTCGGCTGACTGCGAGACGACCGCCTCGTCGACTCAAACGATCTCGGCAGCAGCGGTCGTCTGTGACACTGAGGGCCCTCATCATGGGACCTCCCTTGCCAGTACTATATATCACAATATAAGAAGAGGTTTTTACTTGTGGTGAGCATGCACGCTCATATATGTGTGGTTAATGCAGACACGATTCCTTGCGGGAGGTGTCAGTTTGGTGTTTTAACATCTTACCCGATTTTGTGCCACAAAGGGTAAAACCTATTCTTATTTGTGTCAAACTCTGGGGCTGTTATCGCAACATTTCCGTACGAAGCAAGCATTTGTTTTATTGTACCAGGTATAGCTCACTGTGCTGCTATGTAAATGTTTTTTTAGAAGCAACCTGGCCCCACAAATGATAGCTCAACGAAGTGGCTTATCATCATGTGGAGATGCATAGCAGTAGCCAAATAACCCTTTAAACGCGTGATGTTGATTCTAAATGTGGAGGGAAAAAGCGGAGGACCCGCAGTAAAATCCACACGCCCACTGGGAGAGAGAGACATGCATTGCCGGAAAGAGTAAAACCTATTCTTACGAGTGCTCTTAACTGGACCCGCGGTTGTCATTGGACTTCCATGTTGCGTTGGTAGGGGGGTCTTGTTGTTGACTGTCAAACCCGTCCCTTGTCGCGGCGTGGATGCAGCCGGGATGGGCGAGCACGACGTACAGATGAGGCAGGCGGGGAAGGAGGAGCCTCTCTGCGTATCGCCACTCTTGGCATCGTTCAAAGGTAAAGGGGGGGGGGTGATGTGTGCACCGACCTCGCTGGCTCTGTCGTCGTCAAAACCCACCGCTTGTTACTGAAGAAATAAACGGGTATTGTTGAGGGCGACGATTGTTCTGTAAATTCGACCCATTGCCGCCGGTACATTTATTTTACTGTAATTGTTGTGCCGTGTTTATCAATTACGCACGGTTAGGAAAGGTTTAGCTCCTGTTTGTAAACGATTAATTCATTCAGCTTTGATCAAGTGAAATATGTTGTGAAGGTACCGGTTCCCGTCATGGGAACGTGGAGTGTCCGCTGCTGTATCAGGACAGGTAGCAGAAGAAAAAAAACACTGCATAGAGACTGATTCTGTTTCTAAGCACTGCTAAAGGAGTCCCTGAAAGTTGACTAGGTTTGTGGATTTAAAGAACTCGCATATACAACACGACGTGTTGTTTGATGAGGGGTTGATACTTTGCTTATGAAGCAAAACAATTACAAGTGACTTCCAGGAACTTTCTCGTGCTTCAGTATGTTGACGTGTTAAAAACTATGGCACGCCACTGTGTCATAAGACGTTCTCTCATTGCCGAAACGACAAACTCGGACAGGCCGGGCCACTTAGCTGTGTGGTTACACGATGGAGCAATTTGATCATCAATTGTGATGAAGTGCGCAGTGAAGCAAGTCTCGCTGTTAGCGGCGAGATGAAGGCGATGCAGATGTGTGTCACGGCTGGCATTCGCGTAGGCTTCCAGCTGGAGCTGGACGCGCGTCACGACAAGTACGAGCGGCTGGTGAGGCTGAGCCGCGACGTCACCATCGAGAGCAAGCGCACCATCTTCCTGCTGCACCGCGCCACTGTCAGGCCAGTCCCCTCCCCCGGCTGGGCGACGTAGCCGGGCGCGGTGGCTCTCCCGGCTACTCGCCCGCACTCGCCCGCACAGTAAAAACCAACCTTTTGCCAAACCACTGCTGGGTGAGGGCCTTCCACTTCCGTGTCGGTCGTGGGGGGCTCGACCATACTTCACGCTGGTCATTGCCTGTTGGCGTTATGTGTCGCAGGGAATGAAAGGTTCGTGGGTCCTGTGGCGTCTTGTGTGTGTGCGCGTGGGACCTGTGCAGCGGGGCGAGGCTGGAGGATCTGCTGCTTGAGTCGGAATCGAAGCTGAGCGCCGTGCGGCAAAAGGTGCGCAGCATCGCCCTGGAGCTGCAGGGAGAGAACATGTACCAGTACCTGAGAGCCTTCACAGCAGGTAGCCTCCCTGTGCCCTCTGGGCTGTTGTACTGTTACACTGGTAGCACTTAGACGTGCATTCATCCGTGAACATGTGCAGTTCTTTTTGTCACGCCACTGGACGGGAGCCTTCCCACACCATACGGGTTGTTGGAGTTATTTGATCATACTTCACTATGCTGGTCAAGTAGGGAGCATAGATGTGAAAGTATAGCAGTACAATACAATACATTAAGTAGCATCTAATCTCACAACAAAGCATTTTATTTTCATAACTAATCCTCCACAAATATCAGGGCCACTCAACTCACTGTGGAATAACCCAGACGCAACATCATAGGTCCTCACCATTTCGATTTAAAGCTTTCGTGACTGCAGGGATTCATCTTCTTGGTTCTTTCGGTAAAGTCACGTAGAAGGGAAGTAATAAAATAATAAAACATAATAAAATAATTCTCACGACGTTTCGGCTACAACGCATATGCTTGCGTTGTAGCCGAAACGTCGTGAGAATTCTTCTATTATGTTTTATTATTTTATTACTTCCCTTCTACGTGACTTTACCGAAAGAACCGAGAAGAAGGTCCTCACCAGTTATCCAGTTTATATTGTTTACCTGCTATAAATTTCCACGTGATAAGCCACTTGATTGAGCAATCATTTGTGGCCAGGTTGCTTCTGAAAAAGAGCTAAAAGCTCATCGGGCTTACCTGGCAAAATAAATAGTTAATTATTAGTTACCCTTCTAGGTGGTGTCTAACATTTAAAATAAATAAAGCCAGCTATGCAGACCTGTTAAGTGGTTCACTCCGCCTGTTTAACAAACACATGCTTACCTAGCCATTTTATGTGGGCAAGGCCAAGTGAAGTGCACCACCTAGCCCACACAAGTGTTTCTGTTTGTGCACTCAGGCTGTGCTCAATGTGAATCATTAAGCTTCGATGTGGCCTATACCTGCACTAAGGTTATGAAGCCTTTTCAGAGCAACATAATAATGCCTACCTGTCTCTGTTATTTTGCCTTTAAAACATTTGACTTGGGAAATCTCTTGAGATGGAACATTTTGTTGACTCGCAGGCCTGCAGGAGTACGTGGAGGCGGTGTCATTCCGCCACTTCCTGAGCACGCAGACGCTCATCACCCGGGAGGAGGTCAACCAGCAGCTGGTGTTCCCGGGAGAGGTGCTGCTTCCACCCTTGGTCCACTTGGCGGCAGACCGTGGGCCCTAAAACGTCTAATTCTAGATTTGAAGCTTTCGTGACTGCAAGTATTCATATTCTTAGGTTTTCGGTAAAGTCACGTAGGTACTTGATACAGCTATCGTGCTGTGACGGTTCCACCTGAAGACGGAAGCTTGTGTTGCCTCCGAAACGTCGTGATTTTTATTTTATTTAACTTTTATTAATTTAAATTTTTTACCTACGTAACTTTACCAAAAACCTAAGAATACTAAAACGTCTAGTTTATCACCTGTGCCTCCAAACGTGACCACGTCACACTATTTGAAATGCTTCGTGGGCTTTCCTACATTTGGCTGTCCCCTCTCGTTTGCTTCTACACTCCTCCCTATCCCATCCAGTGTCACTTACATAATTTGAGAATTTTGCATCTGAAATGAACGTAATATAGTGTACGTATGTATGTTGAACTTCTTTCGCACCATACGTAGCCAACCATCCCAATCGGCCGTGCGGTAAATTGCATATCCGCCATTCAGTGCAGGTGCTCATTGTTATTGACGGGGTTGTTGATCTGGCAAAGTGGCATGGTCAGAGTACCTCACTCGCTATTGGAAACTCATGAGTTGTAATTCCAGTTAAGGGCTAACTCGGACAATCTTCCCTCCACAGTCAACAACACCACTTTGTGGGATGTGAACAGTAATTTCGAATGGAAGGCTGGTCCCCTCCTTAGCAATGTGGATTTTCTAATCCTCGCTGAAGACTGCCAATGAAGTTTATCAGTACTCAATGCATCTTTGAGTGTGGGGACACTGAATTTTTTGACAGGGCGAGTTGGCGTCTTCCTGTTTAAACAGTTCCGGTTAACTTTCAAGCACAAAACCATCGGATAGTTATACAAGTGTGTGTTTACCTTCTCTTTCCCGCACTCCCACCCCTCGCCTTGTGTTTCTTCACCACCAGCCATCCGTGAGCCTGGAAATCACGTTGACCGATTACATCCTGGGTGTGGCCGACCTGACAGGCGAGCTAATGCGCCTGTGCATCGCAAGTGTTGGCGGTGGTGGCGGTGGCGGTGGCGGCGGCGGTGGCTGCGAGCCGGACCCAGACACCCCCTTCCGTCTGTGCCGCTTCTTGCGGGAGGTGTACGACGGCTTCTGCTTCCTGGGCAACCTGGGGCCCTACGAGCTGTCGCGCAAACTGCACGTGCTGCGCCAGAGCCTGTCCAAGTGCGAGGACGCGTGCTACGCGCTACGCGTGCGTGGCTCCGAGGTGCCTCGGCACATGCTCGCCGACCTGGTGTCTCTCCGTGGCGGGGGGGGTGCGCGCGGTCTCGCCGACGGTGAGCGAGACGGTGACGCGGGGTTGTAGCTCGCGCGTTCCGCGTCCAACGCCGCCAAGTTTACCTGCGTTATTTTTGATATACACGCGCGCTCGTGTGTTTTGACTTTAGTGTCGTCTACATATTGTCCATACAAAGTGCGTCGCTGCTCAGCTGATAGTGGGCCGTGCTCATATCTGCTGCCTTGAGCCATCGGTGGGAATTCAACAAGGCTCGGGTGGAGGCCTCGCTCCCCATAGGGCAATCGTTGATGATTTCCCGTACGTGACAGTCGTGTTGTTTACCCATGGAGGTGATTGGCTGAGCTGACTCCTGATTTCGTTTTGTGACCTGGCTATCAGTTGAACTTCATAACCGCCCCATTGCAAGTTGTATGAAAGTGTCTCTTAAATTTCACTGCAATCGGCAGAGCTCTTGTCAGATTTATATGTGGGAATGAACGTGGAAGATGACACTGCTGAACTACCTCTGAAGGCTTAGCCATAACAAGATTACCCTACTAGTTTAGTAGTTCGCTCCATAGCTATTATCTAATTTGAAACTATACTACAGGGGCTAAGCCTGGCCAATTAAAATCTGTATGGGATGTTGCGATAATTATTATTCAGGATTTGTGTGGGAAGAAGCTAGTTAGTGGAAGGACCCACATTTAGACTCCACAGATAAGCAGGCACTCGCATGTCTGTCTTACAACCCATTTAGTTTCGTTGAATTCAACAGCCTCCCCACACAGCCGCTCTACTGGCGTGTTCCACCACTCACGCACTACATGGATTACCCTTGGTTGGAGGCCAGTATTTTTAGACTCGGTAGTTCCGACTCTGTGCTTTATACAGGTGTAGCGTTACCTCCATCAACATCCTGGTCACTCTTGTCACGTGTCCACCTAACTCTGATCCACTCGCCACCCACGAAGCTCCATCCCTTCTCATGTTCCTGAACAAGTCAAGTGCCAGGTCACCCCTTGAGCTGACCAGACTGGCTGCAGTGTTGTATCAATGGCTTTTGACACCGATATAGAAGAGTGTATAGCCACTGGCTTGTTTGTAATAAAACGACTTTTAATAGGCTTTAAAATGCAAACAAATGCCTCGATACCTTTTATGTATTAGTTCATCCTGTTGGCGATTCGCATTCGATATGGATGGCACCTCGGCTTTGTAATGTACGTTGAACTTCTTTTTCGCACCGTACATAGCCAACTGTGCTAATCGGAGGTGCGCGGTAAGGACAAACTAAAATAAATCAAATCGGAGACAGAGAAGTTCAACTGCACATGGCAACTGGCGGTCTCTTCAGAGACAGGACTTGGGCCGGGGCTTTTGTCTCGTGTCAACAAGGTTCAGTTTTGGAAGAAATTTTTTTTCTTAAGTTTCATTCTTTTCATACCCCATGGTATATAGTAAAGTCTCAACTATTATATTATATGGTTCTTTCGGTTAAATCACGTAGAAAAAGAATAATCAAAGAATGAAAATGAAGTGAATAAAAAATAAAAAATATCACGACGTTTCGATCGCAACACAAACGGTCGTCATCAGGTTCCTGATTTTTTATTCACTTTATTTTAATTTTATTATTTTTTTCTATCTACGTGACTTTACCGAAAGAAGCATAGACTATGAATTCCTGCAGTCACGAAAGTTTGAAGTCAAAAGCTCAACTGTTACCCATTTGTTTTCACTCATCTGTCTCGCCTCTTATTTGTCCTTTGAAGAAGGGCCATTGTCCGAAACGTCACCTGCTTCATACCATTCCTTTTGAGGCAACCGTGTTGTTGGCGAATGCGTTGAGCTCTTGGCCATTCGCGATTTCTACGCCGCTGCGTTGGCAGCATCGCCAAATCATGTCTGGTTTTGATCAGCTCGGGAGCAGTCTGGGTAGCAGCAGGCTTGGGTGTGAGCGCGGGTTTGACTTGAACCCACTCGCCACTGGAAAACGGCCTCTGAGGGGCCATCCATTTAGTACGCAGTACGCAAACATCTGTCAAAACTTTACCCCTCCCCTCCTCTCCCCACCTGCGTACGTACGCTTGATGCACCCCCCCCCCGAATCCTATAAAACGGCCGAAACGATCAAGGATGAATAATATTAACGTGTTTAAGCAAACAGTCCACCGCCGGACTAACTAATTTGAAGGCCAATGTAGACAAATTATTAGTGAGGCTTCACCCCACCCCCCCCGTTTACATTCTCCATTGCGTACGCACATTGTCAGTAGACCCCTCATACGCAAGCGTACGGTTTGGGTTAAACCCCCCTTTCCCCCCTCCATGCGTACGCACTGAATGGATGGCCCCTGACTTCGTGTCAGAGGTCGCAAACGGGTTTTGAATCCTTACCCGTACCCGGCCGCACCAGGGTCGCAAATGGGTACCCTACCCGATACCCGGCTACCCGTACCCGGCCGGGTACGGGTAGGGTACGGGTATCGGGTACCCGATTGCGACCTCTGGGATGAAGCTATGTTGCAGGCGCGGGTGGGTTGATTCTAGGAACTTGAATTGTGAGAAGAGACAAGACGTTGGGAAATGAGTGACAAACGGTGACTCACCAGTGACTCACCAGTGACTCACGGCCTACCCGTACCCGGACGCACCAGGGTCGCAAACGGGTACCCAGGTATCGGGTAGGGTACGGGTATCGGGTACCCGGTTGCGACCTCTGCTTCGTGTGCTACCGCATTGCGCTGTCGCTCGCTCGAAGCAGCAGAGGGCGCTCCAATGCAAAGTTAAGACGCTCGCCTTTACTCGGAGGTCTAAGAAATAATACGGAATGCATCATGTGCAGTGCATCTAAACCCATGCACACCACCGTAGAAGTATTGCCATAATCTATTGCAACAGCCAAACAGAATGCAAAAATTTCACGCCGTTTTTATTTGCAAAGGTTAGCCTTGGCCGAACACTTATTTTGGGAAAATCATATGAATTGGCCAGTGTATTGCCATTTGAGAGCGAACGCATTGCGTTTCATTATTTTGCAAGGGAACACGGTGAAACCGTGGCTCCACTGAACGGGACTGTCGGCTAATTTAAGTCTACGTTTTGACTTCAGGCTTGATTTGTATGTTGAAAGAGTGCCCAAGTGACCCACTTTTGGCGGAAGACCATTATCCACATTTTTAAATTCGTCTTTTTGGGAGTCGAAGCTTGATTACGAGTACCATTTGTGGCGGTGAATATGTAGATAATGGTCTGTGTGTCATTTGGGTTCGCAGCGCGGTATTTGTAGGTCAGACGTTTCAGCCACTGCTATGTCTATTATAAGTCAGATATGCCGCTGTTAAGTACAACGACTACACATTTAATCGAAGATAAACGGGCTGCCCCGTGCCCGTTTGCGAAAGCCAAGAATGTGTTTTAGTCGCGGCCAAAGTACTGCCCACCCCCCCCCCCCTCTATAATGTAATATTCCCCATGACCAAACGGGCCCCTTTGTAAACTGCAGCCATGTGCACCTTCATCGGCTCAAATATATACTCTCAGTAAATCAAGGGCTGCTCAGCTTTGAAGAATGGGGGCACGATGTGAGCCATGTAAACAGCAGCGGATAGCAGTGCTGAGGCATGGTTTTAATGAGGATTTGTGGGTGGCGTGTGGGGCCAGAGCGTGAAAGTGCGAGCACGCTTGCGTTACTTGCGTTCATCAACATCGTCGGTCATGGTCTATCTACTGCTGTGCGGAGGGCTCCACGCGTTGCCATGCATCACGGTGTCCGCGATCGCGCGCGAATAGAATGCGTACAGAAAAACTGCCGGGAAAGTCGTCGTGATGACAATGCACCCACGTGTAGATTGGTCGACTTGAAATGTTGGTGACGTGGGTCGGAGCGAGGACCGGCATTTGAGAAATGTGGTTGCGGTTATGCAAAAAAATATATTGCGAGTGCAAACTTCGTGCGGTCGTTTACAAAATGTTCATTTTGAAGAAGAAAAAAAAAAGTCCTGCAATAAATAGTGCAAAATGAGGAGTGGTTTCTAACATTTTCCAATTCAATAACGCGGACAATGTTACACGGTGCTTTTAATTTGGAACTGTTTATAACTTGTGCACTCGGCTTAAAATACTAGTGGCTCGCACGCCGACAGCTCTGTGGCCCGACCACCCCCTGCCACCGTCACAAGTGAACTTTGCGTGGAGCCACGTGCAAATTGCAATATTCCTGCTCTTGCGTGTGGTCTCCAACATGATGATGACATGGGGGCCCTGTGGCCATGCCGTGTCGAGGTTCAAAACGTTTTGTCTCGGTATTGTTTTACGCAGATTTTACATGGCCTGTTTTAATTTTGTAATGCGTTTGCCCATATTAATACAGTCTACTCAAGTCTCCAAATATTTTGCTGGTTTTCCTTTGGAGGCAGTGCCAAGCTCCACATAGTGATCAGGGAGTCCCTCTTCACAAGGGAGTTGTAGGTAATGATGGCTCTACTGTGCTGATGATACCTAACAAGAATGAAACTCATTATCCCGTTTTGACGGGACAATTGTCTAAAGCCAGCCTGTGCGTTACATATATAATGTTGGGTGATATCACGTGACATGAAAGGCAGGATGGGAGGACCAATGTGCTCGTCACCTTTACGGCCCCGAGCCGGGGTGGTAGGAATTCTGCACTATGATGTCAAGGGCCCAGTCCAGGACGTCACCTGCTCTTTTACCACAAAGCGGTTTTCATTTTTCACTCCCAGAGTAATGGCGGGCTGAGTTGGGCCCCAACAGCAATTTTAAGTAGTGACCTCCTGGGAGTTAGTCGAGTGTTTTGATCACGTTGTTGCTCATCAGAATAACTCGTAAGAAGGAAAAGCCACCAGGCGAGTGCCCATTAATTTTTTCGGTAAAGTCACATGTAGAAATAAAATAAAATGTAACTAAGTAAATTAAAATTTATGTAAATAAATTACATTTGTTTAGTTACATTTTACTTCTACATACGTGACTTTACCGAAAAAACCAATGAGGAGTACAGTCATTTCTGCAGTCACGAAAGCTTCAATCCTATGTTAGTGCCCATTCGTGTATAATCACACAGCTACCAATGAGGATGAATTGCAGGATATGGTGGAATCACTTCACAAATAGATCTGCAAAGTTGAACTTGAGATAATTGTGATTTATACACAAAAATCGACAGATTTCCCGTATACCCTAAACATACTGTTGGGGCAAGTGCTGTTTGCGAGCATCTATGAAGGCATGGCTTTTGGGGTTCCAATTTCTTTTTAAGTGGCCAATAACAGTGAATGACGTGATGACCATTTTAAATGAGTGGGGTTATCAAGTGATTGACTTTATTGGTCATGTAAATAAATGAGTTCCTAGCAGTTTTTCTACCTTAGGTGGTACCGATTTCTTCTCTGAACCATGGACTAAAATGATGAAATACACAGATGAGCAAGAGTAGGATGGGATGCTTTTGGGAAACTGAATTTGATCATGAAAAGCAGCTTCATCATTAAGCCTGAACGGGAGCATTTTCACTCTGCCAACGATGACACTGGGATAAAGATGGAACTCAAGTAAAAAGAGCATGAGATGAAGCTAGCAAAGACGCATGCGTGGAAATATGCTGAGAAACACAACGTGGTACACATGGACCAGTACACAATGCAATGTCGAGAGATCATTGTGAATGAGGGATAAGTTAAGGGGACTTGGGCAGGAGGCGTCGCTCAAAGGGACGTTGGCCGATGGTCAAGACCAATGACGGAGTGGCAGCAACGGAGCCAGCGATGGAATCGGCGCGTGTGTGTGGGTGCTGTGTGTATTATTATATCAGGATCGCGAGAGTTGGCAGTGGCTTTCCGATATCTTCACCCAGAAGTGGATTGATTATGGCTGTCGATGATGACAATATAAGATAGTGTTAATGGTCAATGTGATCAGGTTTTTTAAAATCTTATTGATACTTGAAATGTGTTCAACATGGGGTGGCGACGTGGACTCACGGGCGTGCATTCGCTGCTCGTTCTAGAATTTTACGGTTCGAATCTAGCGGCTGTCCTGATGAATACCGCATGCGTTATTGCCGTAGAAATGTGCCAATCGGACGTTCAAGATTCACAAGAGTAGGCCAGCGTGTTGCCGGCGTCATGGTCCAAATTTTAACAAAAATAGCCCGGCGAGTTACTCAAATGGGAATACACACAGCAACCATCGCCCCCCTCCCCCCACCCCGACTGTGAAGACTTGGGCAGGACCCTCTTGAAAATATAAAAGAGTCACGAGACTCGGCGAGGCTTTCCCTGGGTCCACAGCCCAACGGTGGCAACAGCAGAGCCAGTCCCGGTGTGCCGAGTGCATCCACAATTCCGCCATTCACCAGACCCTGCCCCCGCCGCCGCTGCTCCTGGCGATGGGTCACAGTAACGGCCAGGCGACGACGCCACAAAGGTCACCAGAATCCGCGACTCGGGATAGTGGCGCTCGTCTGCTGCGGGGCGGCGCAAACATCACGCGATGCGCAAGCGCGCGTGCACATGTGGCTGTAAGCGACTCTTTTTGTGTGCGTGTGATGATGGTGATGATGATGGTGTCCAGATGTGCCCGTTATTAATACGAGCGCTCGAAAAGCGCCGTCCGCCTTTGCCAGGCAACGGGGCGGGCGCGTTTATCCGGAGCGTGGCTAATTGGCAATTACAATGGGAAGCGCCCGACACGGAACGATTGAGCTCAGTGCGCTTATTGAGATTTTTTTTTTACTTTGTGTGCGTTGTGCGCGCCCGGGCCGGGACGAATCATCATCATGGCCGTGATTATTATGATTGTTATTGCCTATGGCGACGTCACCGCCTGTGATCTGGCTCAGGAGTTGGTGGCTCACGCAAAGATGGGAGGCGTCCGCCCGCAGGGACCAGGTAGCGAGCTTGGGTCGGTCGGTGCAGCGACTAGAACTCAAATTTTTTTCACTAAATTCCAATGAGCACCGAATACTTGTTTGGGAAAAAAAATCGAATGGAATGGACAAAGTGTTCGTGTCGGTCCAGAAGCATGTTCCCTACTCCCGTCCAGGGGAACCCTGCCGACAGACATCCTTATCATTTTTTCTAGTGAATACGTTGAGGACGTCGTGGGCTAATCCTTAACGATCTCCGACTAAAGCTGAACTCGTCAATTCATTAGCTCTCTGAAAGGCGAGGACTCCATAACTGATAAAGAGGATGCAAATATGAACAAAACTGTCGTGTAAAGTTGTGTTGCTATTAGATACTTTCCCTCGAGACAATCGGTCACATCGATCAACGGGTGGCCCAGAACTTTGACACGAAAATAATCCGGCGCTTAAAGGAGTCGCGCCACATCCGGGTCATGTCACCCCCCCCCAGATGCCGTCAATTGGAGATGTCACGCGTCACGCCTCGCCACCCCCAAATGACGCAGGGCACGTCGTGGCTCTAAGAGACGATGGCCTGTAGCTGAGGCTAATAAACGGAGCGGCAGGTGGAATCACGCCACAGTGCACATCCACCACGGAGATGGAGCGGTGAAATGTGCCTCGTGTTTTTTTTTTCCGTGAGCTCCGAGGGATTGTTGCGTACGCGAGATCGCGAGAGATGGCGGCGACTTGGGGAGAGATCTTCATTCAGCGGTGGATAGATCTGTGCGCGATGGGTCGCCTATGAAACCGGGTAATAAATAGCGCGTTACGTCAACACTGCTATTTTGTGCCGCTGGTCAGTGCTGGGTTCCCACCAAGTGGGCCCAACAGGAGGTGCCGAACAGGTCCCGCTATCGCTCAGTAAGATCATCGGTGCGCCACCCGATGCGAGACGCTGCCTTCATTGTCTCCTCCACCGCCCGAGCGGCATTGTCAGCGGTTCTGTCTCCGAGACCCACGCTCGGCCGGCTCCGCGTGGTTGCGTCATAGCTGCCCGCGTATCGCCTCCATCAAACCGCTCGGCTCTCCCTTCCCTCCGTCCGTCGCTCGGCCCTCACTGCGTAATCGTTTTGAGAAGACAACCGAAATCGATCAGATTGTTTGCAAACTAGATTGCGTGTGGGGGTGGGGGCGGCGGGCGGGGGTGGGGGGCGAGGTTTGTTGTTGTTTTCAAAATGTCGCGGAAATGTGACCGCGTGTGACCCGAAAAATGTAGGGTTCAAAATAGCAGCGGGCGGTTATCGTCGCAATCGGTTTGCTTCTGTGCGTGGATATTGCGGTGTTCTCCGCGTCCTTTCAGAGTGGTCGGGGCCTTCCCCACCTCCACCCGGTTTGGACTCGAATTCCATTCAACGCAATCCCTCTTTCTCTTCGAGTGAAGCGACGTCATCCAGAAATATCTTGTTGACCTTTTGTTTATTTTGTTTATTGCTACTTTTGCCCTTGCCCTCTTGAGGCGACGTCGCCCGTTTTACGATCAAAATGCCGATTCCAATCAGCGCAGTTCTTCAAATGGCCATCATAGTTCATCACCGTGACATCATCCTTTGGAGTATGCTATTTATATCTTGTAAGCAACTCAACACTATGAAGAAGGGCCATTGCCTGAAACGTGTCCTATTATAAATGTTTCCCTCTCAAAGCAGTGTTATTGACGATTGTGTTGAGTTTGAGTGTTTTCGTTATTAGCGTTGCTTGTGCACCCCTGCCAACGCAGCAGCAGCAGCATCTCCAAATAATGTATTTGATATTCATCGGTAGAGTCCACCACCGTGGTACGTGTGTTGAGTTCGCGTGGGTGAAGATGATGCAATAGAGAGGCAGCCGAGAGCCGGCAAGAGCGCTTTTGGACGAGACGCCCAGAAGTTCGCTTCCCCGAGTGAAGCCCACGGCTGAACCTCGCAGTGAAGAGCCACAGAGTGCCAAGGGCTGTAACCCGTGCGCGGTGCCTGCTGCGACACGTGCATCGCGAACAGTGATGGATAATAACATGGAACAAACGCTGAACGGTGGCGTACGAAAATTAAAGTGCTGTGGAGCGGCGCACGCCCCGGAATTGCGGAGACAGAAAGAGTGGCACGTGGAGTAAGGAGATAACGCGCGCGGATTGCAGAGTTCGTGGGAGGCGTGAGTGGGGTCCGGCAGGCGCGAGTGTCGCTGGAGGAGTTGAGTGGACCATGAGTCGCGACGCAGGACGGAGTGTGTAGCCAACGGAGGCAACGTTGCGTGAAGATCACGCACCCCGCGGATATGGAGCGGTGAAATCGACTCGTGTGCAGATGTTGGATGGATTGCCACGTCACGACGGATCGAGGAGGCCTTCATCCATCTGTGAATAGAGCAAGGCTGATGATGATGATGATGAACGTCTGAAGGCTGGAGTTGTGATTAAACATGTCCCGCCATATCAATGTGGAATTTCCACCACTGGTTCGGGGCCACTCGGGGAGACGCCGCTCCACACTCGTGTGAAAAGAAATTGATCTCGACTTGTCAGTCTTCACTTGCCTCATGTTCATGTGATGTTGGGAACAGTGGAGAAGACTGGGAATAGTTAATATGACGTCAATAATAGGACTCCGGGGTTAGTGTAAAGGTTAGGGTTAGGGAGAGAGTTGATGTTCAGGGCAATTAGCGGAAGCTACGGTTATGGTGAGCGTGGCGATTATCACTCGGATTGGCCAAGGTTAGCATTGGTTCGGGTAAAGGCTGCGATACGGGATAGGGTTCGGAATGGGATAGCTTGCTAAATGACGTGGGTTTACTCTCAAGCACACCGGTGTGCCAAAGTAGTAACTAATTGGCACATTTTGTTTACGTGACAAACCTTACTAATTGGCCGTGTCGGGTGGCCGTGGGTTAACGACACTTACATATTTACGCGATCTAACCCAAAAAAAAAACTTTATTATGAATGCTTGCAAAAGGATTACGGTGTGGGTTCTAGTTGGGACGGGGAGTCTCGCTTAATGTTTAACAGAGCGTCGCGAGAGTGCTTTGGTTTCTCAACGTCCAACAAAATCGAATGCGTCTCGCCGCTCAAACGAGCGTGGAGCGGCCACCGCCTCCCGTGTATTGCCCCGAATCGGCTGCGGAAGTTCCCCGTCCCTGGGATGAGTAGACCGACAGCCAATCGTTGACCATCGTACAAAGTGATGCTGATTCCATCGGCCTCGGAACGATGATAGGCCCGCTCAACCGGAGACCGGGATTTGTTTGTTAACTCGCAAACCTTCTGATCGCGGTGTCGATCGCTCTAACCGTTCTGCCACCCGGGTGGATTAACTCTTAAGTGGGAAAGATCTCTGCCCCCATTGCTGTGAGGAGTGTGGGAGCTCTGGGGAGGGAGGTGGGAGGGGGGGGCGCTTCGAGGTTGTGGCCCCCTTCAGGGGTCATTGACGCATCCCGGGGTCGCGCCGATGACGGGCGAAGGATTGCAGGGGTCCCCCGGGGGAGGAGAGGCGCAGGGGAGGGCGCCTCCCATGAGCTGAGCGGCGGCTGGGGCTGGGCTGGCGAGGGGAGGGAGGGGAGGAGGTGTGGAGTGGGCTCATGAGAAACCCCGCGGTGCTATCATGCGGAGGTGGCTGTGTGGTCCCCAGGGTGCACCGCGCGGCTACCCGTGGAAGGTCACCGCTGAGATCAGGGATTCAAATCCAGAGCTTCCGCCAGTTTGACATTAAAGCAGATTCTTTTTCGTCCGTCGTGTGTGCGCGTCGCGCTAATCGCTTCGTTCACAAATTAGTGGCTGCGCAGAAGAAAAAAAATAATTGCCAAATGTCCGATGCTGCATCATTTCCGTGCATAGCGCACATTTCTTGACTTGAAGCTTTCGTGACTGCAGGAATTCATATTCTATGGGTCTTTCGGTAAAGTCACGTATATAGGTTTAAAGAAAATAACATAGAATATTAAATATATATATATATAAACTAAACATTTCAATCGAAACGTTGTAGTTTATTATTATTTTATTTATTATTTTATTTTAACCTATCTACGTGACTTTACCAAAAGACGCAAAGAATAAGAAATAGCACACATATCCTTTTGTCTTATTTACGTATGTATTAAATTCTGGTCGACTGAACTCATTGTGCATTTGTTCATCTGTTGTCCATAACATGATAGCACTTGGTGGGGATTCCACCGTGATTCTGCTATAAAAATAGATGCCCCCCCCCCCACTCTCCAGCCAAGGAATGTGGAATTTCCATCGCTGATTTGTTTGGGCCGCCAGTGGAGATGAGGTCGTTTAAAGCGGGAGAAAC